TTGGGTGCATAGATATTTATAATGGTTATATCCTCTTATTGGACTGACCCCTTTATCATTGTGTAATGTCCTTTGTCTCTTGTTACTTTCTTTGTCTTGACATCTATTTTGTCTGATATAAGTACTGCTGCTCTGGCTTTTTTTCCCTATTATTTTCATGAAATATCTTTTTTCATCCCTTTATTTTTAGTCTGTGTATGTCTTTTAGTTTGCAGTGAGTGTCTTGTAGGCATCATATAGATGGGTTGTGCTTTTTTATCCATTCTGTAAGTCTATGTCTTTTGACTGGTGCATTCAGTCCATTTACAGTTAGGATGATTATCAATAGATATGTACTTATTGCCATTGTAGGCTTTAGATTTGCATTTACCAAAGGTTCATGGGCAACTTTCTCACTATCTAAAGGTCTGTCTCAACTACCTCATGCTGTTTCAAATACAATCTCAAGGTTCTTTTCCTTTCTCCCCTCCTCTTCTTCTTCCTCCTCCACACTTTATATGTTGTTGTGTATCATATCCTGCACTTGTGTGTATCCCTTGACGAACTTTGTGAGTAGTTGATTTAATTTTGTATTTGCTTAGTAATTAATTGGTTTACTTCCTTTACCTTGGGTTTTTGTTCTCTGGTGAATGCTATGTAGCCTTAGAAGCAATTCCATGTAGAGCAGTCTCTTTAAGATATGCTGTAGGGACAGTTTGTAGGTGTTAAATTCCATCAACTTTTTCTTGTCTGAAAATTGTTTAATCCCTGCTCCAAATGTAAATGATAATCTTTCTGAGTAGAGTACTCTTGGTTGGAGGCCCTTCTGTTTCATTGCATTAAATATATCATGCCACTCCCTTGTGTCCTGTAAGGTTTGTGTTGAGATGTCTTCTGATAGCCTGGTGGGCTTTCCTTTATAAGTGATCTTTTTTTCTCTCTGACTGCTTTCAATTCTCTCTCCTTGTCCTTGTCCATTCTCTATCTTTGCCATTTTAATTGTTATATGTCTTGGTGCTGTCTTCCTATGGATTCGTGTGTTGGAAGATCTCTGCACTTCCATGACCTGACTGACTATCTCCTTCTCCAGGTAGGGAATGTTTTCAACAGTCTCTTCCTCAAAGAAATTTTCTATCCCTTTGTCTCTCTTTTCTTCTTCAGGAACCCCTATAATGTGAATATTTTTCTGTTTGTATTGGCCACTCAGCTTTCTTATTATTCTTTCATTCCTGGAGATGCTTTTTTCTCTCTGTGCCTCAGCTTCTTTGTTTTCTCATTCTCTAATTTCTATTTCATTTACCATCTCCTCTACCTCATCTAATTTACTTTTAAATCTCTCCATTGTATATTTCATTTCAGATACTGTATTTTTCAAAATTTCTATCTTTTTGTTGAAGTCCTCTCTGAGATCTTGAATATTTTTCTGTAGCTCTGTAAGCACATTTGTGACTTTTATTTTGAAATGCTTATCAAGAAGATTGGTGAGTTCAGTTTCACTTAATGCCCTTTCTGTCATATTTCTTGTAATTTTGTTTCAACCAAATTCCTGTGATGCTTAATTTTTTTAGTGTTTCCTATAGAATAATAACTTTGCATAGGCAGGGTCCTCTAGTGTCCAGAAGCTCTACTCTCTAGAGATGCCATGTACCTGCAGCAAATGGCAGGGGTTGCAGGAGAGCAAAAATGGCACCTGCTGGAAGGATAGTTTTGTGGGGAGAATTTCCTGACTTCCTGGGTATAAAGTCTGCCTCTCCTGCCAAGTCCAGTGGGCTGTGCATGCAGGAAGGAGCATCTGTGCTATGCCTCTGTAGCTTCCATGGGCAGTGCCACCCTGCAGCTGAACTGGTGTGATGGTGGGACCAGCACCTGCTGGGAGGAAGAAGCAGCAGGTTGCTTAGTGCAGTGGAGGGGTGTCTCAGAGCCACGCTGCCAGCCAGGGGGATGGAGTGTCTGAAGCTCCTGAAATTTTCCAACCTGCTGGGCTGAGCATTTTGTCCACCTGTCCTTTCTCCTGAGCAGTGAGCTCAGTGCCATTGTTGCCTCTTTAGTGCCTCTTTTGTTGCTGAAAAGTCCTTCAAACTTCCCACCTTTCTATTGTCTCAGGGGGCCTGGTTGTGTGTACCTGTTCTCTACAAGCAACTGGGATCTCAGTTTCTCTGAGTTTCCACCCGTCTTTGCTTTCCAACCCAACTAATCTCTACAGCACCATGTAATGTGTGTTCATGCTCCCAGAGCAGATCTCAGGGACTGGGTTTTCAGCAGTCTTGGGCTTCTACTCCCTCCCCAGCTACATTTCTTTTCCTCCTGCCTTTTTGACTGGGTGGGGGGAGGGCTTGAGTCCTGCTGGATCTTGGGTTTGCTATTTTACCCTTTTCTGTGAGGCCTTCTTTTTTCCCCAGATGTAGGCAGTCTGTTCTGCAGTCTTTGGGTTGCTTTTTCAGGATTAGTTGTACTTGCTGTGTTTTCATATTTTATGTGATTTTGGGAGAAGGTTTCCGCCTCATTTCTCATGCCATCTTTTTACCCCCTCCAAGTCTGGATTACATAACTTAATAGATTTTCTAATTATAAATATAAGAGTTGTAGAAAATTGAAAATACAGACAAGTATAAAGAAGAAAATAAAAATTGTACCACTTATTACTTTTTGGCATTTGTAATTGATTCATGGGTGTGCATGTGTGTGTGTGTGTGTGTGTGTGTGTGTGTATGACAGAGAGAGAGAGAGTATATAGAGCAATTTTTTTCCTCTAGTAAGGTAGAACCATTTTGTATAATCATCAGCAATATATGTGAATGCCTAACCCTTATTGATTTATGCTATTTATATTTAAGGCATTCTACATTGTCATTGTTATGTTCTGTGATGGCTTTTTCCCAGTTCATCAACTGTGTTTCGAGGGTATTTTACTTAAGTGGGTTTTTCTTTCATAACCAGATTTTAAATTGTTAAAACAAATTTTCTGTTTTGATGTTACATTTTAGACATATCATTCCCATCCCAAGATTATGTAGATGCATGCCAAGTATTTATCCTTCTCTGTCAATTGAAGTACTAATTTAAAAAGAACTAACTTTATCATATATTCAATTTTTACTAACATTTACATTTTTCCCTGAAGTCTCAGATGTTCTTATGACAATTTTCTATTTTTACAAGAATCATGAATTATCTATGTTTATTGAACTTTCTAATATCTGAAAGTACAAGGCTTTTTATTTATTAAATTTTTTCATATTTTAATCATTTTCATTTTTAAAAATTAAAGTATAGTTGACATACAATATATTAGTTTCAGGTATGCAACATAGTGATTCAAGAATTTTATGCATTATGAAATCTTTACCATCTGTCACCATACAATTATTGACTCTTATTTCCTATGCTGTACTTTTCATCAAATGAATTATTTATTCTATAATTGGAAATTTGTACTTCTTTATCCCATCACCTATTTCATCCATTCCCTACCCCCAACCTCTTACGGCAACCACCAGTTTTGTTCTCTGTATTTATGGTCTATTCCTGATTTGGGTTTTGCTTGTTTGCTCATTTCAAGTCCTTTTCATTATTAATCTTTGTCAAAAAATTTCTTGGCTATTCTCGATGACCAGCTCTTTCATTTCAAGGAAGGTCAGAAAATTTATGGATCATAACCAAGAGGTTATATCTATTGTGAATCTGTTACTAAGTTCTAACCAGCTGACTGTATCAACAAAAAAATATTAAAAAGAACTATGAAGAACTTGAGAATTGAAATTTTCCACATGGACTTTTTCTCTGCATCAGGACCTATCATAGCGTGATGTTGCTTGTCAACTGACCCAAGTGGACTCAAACTCAAACAAGCCTGATATGAAATCCTTTACTGGCTTGTGTCTTCATGGCCCCAGGAGATTTGCTTCTACCTGAGGTCTGAATGTATGTCTGCCTAGAGGTAATGATGCCTGACTGCCTAGAAGGCTGGTGATCTCTCAGGAAATTCGCTAAATGGATCCATAAAACTCTAGCAGCCCTGGCATTCCTATCCAGGGGTACAACTGTAATTCATGGTTACCTGTAATCAATTAATGATAATAATAGTCAACACCTATTGAAACAGTTGCTATGTACTAGATTGAGTGCTGAACATTTGCATGAACTTCCCTATAGCCCTCCCAGTAACATGATGTTTCAAGGCCTCTTATTGCTCTTATTTATTGTAAGTGGTAAATCTTAGTGTGTTTAAGCCACAGGGGCAGGTACATAGAACAAGAGGGTATCAGAACAAAATCTCCAAAATCTGAACATTGAACTATAGTCCCATGCTATTGCTCGGGTAGAAAAATACCTTAAGTTAATAATATATTGAGGTCAGTAGTTAACTATACTAGCCTCCCTTTGGTGTACTTTCTATGAAGACTTACATAAGAACATTTATTCTATAATTTCTTTGGTCACACGTGCTGTGCCCTACAAAAATATTACCAGAGTTATAAATTGTGATATAATTTTCAGGCCAATTTGGAGATGATATATTCAATAAATTTGTAAAAGTTGAGAAATTATTAAAAACAGGGTAATCATTTTTCTCAAGGAGAATGGGAGCAATATTTAAAATTTATCAGGATGACCATGTGGGACAGAAGGTCTATTTCAAATTATTACACTATTATTATCAGAAAGCATAGTTATATAATGAATAAACAGAAGTTTTGAGAAAACATTTTCATCAATGATCTCCATGTACAATAATCACAGATTTTCTACTGTTTCTAAAAAATTCTCCATCAAGTGTTTAAATATGTCCTTCACTTCTCATAGGAATTCATGCCTTAACTGAGAACCTGAAGCACTGAGCAGGTACTCGACAATGTGAGATGAAAAGCAGCAGTGGTTACAGCAAGACAGTGAGCATTTCCCTTTTTCTTGTGCTCCATGGAGGAAAAAACGGGCACTTAGGAGAATTGTAATGCTGTCATTTCCGTTGAGTCAGCGGTGCATTCTCTTGTCTCTTTTCTGATCTCAGCAGTACTGAGGCTATGATTAGGAGAGGAAACAGTACAGAGATCACCCACTTCATCCTCTTGGGGTTCTCCGATTTTCCCAGAATCAAAGCACTGCTCTTTGCTGTGTTCCTGGTGATCTACGTTACAACTCTGACTTGGAACCTGAGCCTCATCATCTTAATAAGGATGGATTCCCACCTCCACACACCCATGTACTTCTTCCTCAGCAACCTGTCCTTCCTAGACATCTGCTATGTGACCTCCACAGCCCCCAAGATGCTCTCTGACTTCTTCCAAGAACAGCATATTATCACCCTAGTGGGTTGTGCTGTTCAGTACTTCTTCTTTTCAGCCATGGGACTGACCGAGACTTGTCTCATGACTGCCATGGCTTATGACCGCTATGCTGCCATTTGTAATCCACTTCTCTATTCATCATTTATGTCACCCACCCTCTGTGTTGGGATGGTGCTGGGATCCTATATGGCTGGCCTCTCTGCTTCCCTATCCCAGTTGTGTGCCATTCTTCAACTCCACTTCTGTGGGCCTAATGTCATCCACCACTTCTTCTGTGACATGCCCCAGTTGTTAGTCTTGTCCTGCACTGACACTTTCTTTGTTCGACTCTTGGCTGCTGTATTAATAATATTCTATGGGATAATGAATGTCATGGTTGTCATAGTATCATATTGCTATATCATCATCTCCATCATGAAGATCACTACAGCTAAAGGCAGGTCCAAGGCTTTCAACACCTGTGCTTCTCACCTGACAGCAGTTTCCCTCTTCTATACATCAAGTCTGTTTGTCTATTTGAATTCCAGCTCCGGTGGTTCTTCCAACTTTGACAGATTTGCATCTGTCTTCTACACAGTGATGATTCCCATGTTGAACCCATTGATTTATAGTCTGAGGAACAAGGAAATCAAAGATGCCTTGAAGAGGTTGCAGAAGAAGGGAGGGTATTGCTAACTTAACAAATTCTGGTATTTTTGACAGATTCATCCTGTCAGAATCCCCTTAACCCACAATACTGAGGCCATGAATAGACTATAAGAAAATTCATACTGCCTTTGGACAGAGAAGGATGATTTGACAGGTTCTATGGCCAAAAGGACCAACATCCTATTCAAATCCAGGCAAAGACAATGAGTGTAATTCTTCGAGCTTCTCCGGTTTCCCCCTCCATGAAGAGAGGCTTCATTTATTAATATACCCTAAAATATAGATGAAACATTCAGATTCAGAAACTTCTATTTTTTTCTTTTGAGAATGAGGCCTGTTTAATGACAGCCTTCTGACTGTAAAGGCGAGATACCTGACAGAGGCCCAGGAATGTAGGAACACAGTCTCCCACATGTTCTGATGCAACATAATCCAGACATGATAGTGATCCATGCTTGCTGTGTGTTTCTGACCAGAATGGGAATGAACCATGGGAGATGAAGTGCCTTTGGACAAACAAAGCTATACAGTTGGCCTGGTTGTACCTCCTTGTAGGGAAAAGGAAACTGTAATTCATGGTTACCTGTAATCAATTAATGATAATAATAGTAAACACCTATTGAAACAGTTGCTATGTACTAGATTGAGTGCTGAGCATTTGCATGAATTTCCCTACAACCCTCCCAGTAACATGATGTTTCAAGGCCTCTTATTGCTCTTATTTATTGTCAGTGGTAAATCTTAGTGTGTTTAAGCCACAGGGGCAGGTACATAGAACAGGAGGGTATCAGAACAAAATCTCCAAAATTTGAACATTGAACTGTAGTCCCATGCTATTGCTCAGGTAGAAAAACACCTTAAGTTAATAATATATTGAGGTCAGTAGTTAGCTATACTAGCCTCCCTTTGGTGTACTTTCTATGAAGACTTCCATAAGAACATTTATTCTATAACTTCTTTGGTCACACATGCTATGCCCTACAAAAATATTATCAGAGTTATAAATTGTGATATGATTTTCAGGCCAGTTAGGAGATGAAATATTCAATACATTTGCAAAAGTTGAGAAATTATTACAAACAAGGTAATCATTTTTCTCATGCATCATGGGATCAATTTTTAAAATTTATCAGGATGCCCATGTGGGACAGAAGGTCTATTACAAATTATTACACTATTATTATCAGAAAGTGTAGTTATATAATGAATAAACAGAAGTCTTGAGAAAACACTTTCATCAATGATCTCCATGTACAATAATCACAGATTTTCTACTGTTTCTAAAAAATTCTCCATCAAGTGCTTAAATATGTCCTTCAATTCTCATAGGACTTCATGCCTTAACTGAGAACCTGAAGCACTGAGCAGGTACTCGACAATGTGAGATGAAAAGCAGCAGTGGTTACAGCAAGACAGTGAGCATTTCCCTTTTTCTTGTGCTCCATGGAGGAAAAAACGGGCACTTAGGAGAATTGTAATGCTGTCATTTCCGTTGAGTCAGCGGTGCATTCTCTTTTTTTGATCTCAGGAGTACTGAGGCTATGATTAGGAGACGAAATATTACAGAGATCACCCACTTCATCCTGTTGGGGTTCTCCGATTTTCCCAGAATCAAAGCAGTGCTCTTTTTTGTGTTCCTGGTGATCTACGTTATAACTCTGACTTGGAACCTGAGCCTCATCATCTTAATAAGGATGGATTCCCACCTCCACACACCCATGTACTTCTTCCTCAGCAACCTGTCCTTCCTAGACATCTGCTATGTGACCTCCACAGCCCCCAAGATGCTCTCTGACTTCTTCCAAGAACAGCATATTATCACCCTAGTGGGTTGTGCTGTTCAGTACTTCTTCTTTTCAGCCATGGGACTGACCGAGACTTGTCTCATGACTGCCATGGCTTATGACCGCTATGCTGCCATTTGTAATCCACTTCTCTATTCATCAT